CCTTTTGCCTATCCTTTATAGTAACACCTTCCTCTATCGCTACCTCCTGGCGACTATTGGTATGTTTTCTATCACTATAGTTTTGTTATTTAATTAATGTCATATAGATGGGACCATATAATCTATAATCTTTGAGACTGGCTTCTTTCACTCAGCAAAGTGCCCTTGAGATTCAGTGAAGTTGTTACATATGTCAATAGTTCATTTCTTTTTATTGCTTAGTATTCCATGCTGTGAATGTACCAATTTGTCTATTCATTCATCTGTTGAAGGACATTTGGGTTGTTTCCAGTGTTAGGCAATTAAAATAGAGTTGCTATTTGTGTACGTGTGTACATGTGAACTTAAGTTATCATCCATATACACATTTTTATTTTAATGAGATTACATACAAGGACATTATTTGTTAATACGTTCTCTTCCTATGCTGAATTATACATACCTCCAAGATTTTGCCCAATCCAAAGTAAATATTAATAGCATAGTATAATGGTTGAGTACAGCCCCTTGTGTGAGTTTGAATTTTAGCTCTACCATTTAATAGTGGTGTGCCAGTGGTCAAGTTACAGTTGCCATCTCTATGCCTCAATTTTCACATCCAGGGAAATTGGGATAAACAGTTTCTATTAGGTTATTAAGTATGAAATGTCCGATTTCATTAAGCACTGAGTTTGACAGTTGATATCTCTGACATTTCACTTTGACACTTCTTGTTTTATGTTTATTGTGAAAGTACATCCTCAGTCTTTCAAATGCACATTTGGCTTGTGATTATCTTTCAATTTTTTTTAGAGCAATTTTTGTGAAACCATGGATAAGTCAAAAATTCATGTTATCTTTGAAAATGAGTTCCATTGTGGAACCCAATGCAGTGCAGACACCTCTAAATATCAATGAACTGTTTGGGAAGGATGTGGCTAATGAACGCACCGTACATCTGTCAGGGTGGCAGTCTGCCCTTTGTTCTTGGTGTGCTCTAGGCCAAAGAATGACCAGACATACCAAAGTGTCAAGTCCAGATTATTATCCTGGTCCTCTGACTCCTTGTTTGGAAAAGTCACCAGCAGGGCCAATGCAATAGAACCTGGGGCAGGAAAGCAGTTTCATGCGAGCAGCTCTCTCTTATAGAACAAAACGGGTCTGTCTCTGCGAGTGGAGAGAGACAGACTGATTCATTGACTGACTGACCGACTCACTCTCTCTCTCAATTCTCTGATTGTTTCCTTTTATTGGCCCAGTCTGGGGGCAGGTTCTCGGCAGGTTGAGGATACTACCAAATGATCAACAGGTGTCCTCAAAATTCCATGTGCATATACATGCTCCCTCTCCGAAAGCCCATGGCGGGGGGGAGTGAATCACAATTTAAGCTAATGACATAATAATTATCCTTAGGTTACTCCAGGTCACTTTCCACAGCCAATCCTGCCTGGGCTGGGGAATTCCCAGATTGATAAAGCAATTCCTCCTTCCCCAGGTGTAGTAGTTCCTTGGTAGAGGATTAAGGGTGGGGCAACACCAAAACGGAGTGTCCACCCTTATCCTTCTTCCCAGGTAGAGCAATTGCTAGAGACAGCAGCAAACCAGGGCACCCTTCACCCTAGAAGAGCTGGACAGCCTAACTATCTACCTAACACATCAGTGATTTGAGCAGTTCCATTCTAGTGATTTTAATCTCCAAAATAAGCCACATGGGTGACCTGAAACCAAGGTGGATAATGATGAGCTGAAAGCTGTAGTGGAAGCGAATCCATCTCGATCTAAATGTGAATTAGCAGCAAGGTTTGACGTTACTATTCCAACAATATTGGACCATTTGAAACGAATCGGCAAGGTAAAGAAGCTGGATAGACGGGTTCCGCATGACTTAAACGAACATCAGAAGAGAAATCATCTCGAAGCTTGCCTTTCTTTGCTGTCACAACATAAAAGCAAACCATTTCCACACTGTATTGTTACGTGTCACGAAAAATGGATTCTTTTTGACGATTGCAAGCATTAGGCACGATGGCTGGATAAAGATGAAGTGCCAAAACACAGTCTAATTCATCAAAAAAAGTTAATGGTGTCTGTTTGGTGGTCCAGCGCTGGTATTATCCACTACAGCTTCATGAAACCTGGTCAGTTGATTACAGTGATGTCTACTGCAACCAATTGGACGCAATGATGAGGATGCTTGTGATTAAGCAGCCAAGATTGGCTAATCCTCTTGCAAGACAACCTCAACCACATGCAACCACATGTTGCACAAACAGCACTGCTCAAACTACAGAAGCTGGACTTGGAAAATCTCTGCCATCCACCATATTCACCAGATCTTGCACCAAATGACTACCACTTCTTCTAGGCTTTGGACCACTTCTTGCAAGAAAAAGTATTCAATTCTCAACAAGCTGTGGAAAAGGCCTTTTGTGATTTCATCACCACTTGCTCTCCAGGCTTCTTCTCTGCTGGCATAAACAAGCTAATTTAAGATGGCAAAACTGTGTCTATAGTTTGGGCACATACTTAGATTAATTTTACTGCTTCTTGTTTGAGATATAATAAACTTCACTTTTGATTTGAAATCAGACATTTCATATTAATGACCTAATATCTCCCAGGGTTGTAAGGATTTAAAGAAAGAGTTGATACATATGAGTTTGCTAAGGTCAAAGCAGTGTCTTACACATCTTCCTATTCTTAGCACCTAGTAAATTTTCATGGCAGAAGGTAGATGTTTATAAATTTTTGTTGAATAAATGACTTCATCAGTTTTTAAAATAATCCCAACATATATAACTGTATATTTACTATTTTTTCTTCAACAAATATTTATGAGCACCTACTATGCCCAGATGTTGTGCTAGGCACTGGGGACACAATTGGAAACATAAATATCTTCAATTAAGAGAAAACTGAAACATTGATAAAGACTATTTTAAACGATTTTTGTTCTTCCAGAGCTATCTATCCTTAAATAAAAATCTATTCCACAAAAATTTCCTTTTATGGAAATAAAATGCTTAAGAATGAATAGCACATATACTAGCTTCAATGACTTTATTAAGGTCATACTAATTTGCTTTTTGAATCAAAGAGCAAAACTAAGATTAAATAGAAGATAGGAATTTAAATAAGGATATCCGAGCTCTTTCTTAGTGGAGATGATTTCAAATTTGTTGCCCTCATAGCAGGGAAATTACTTAACTTTCTTTCAAATAAGGTTGATGATCCTGAGACTTCCTCTATAGTAATGCGGGTGAATATAATTTAGGCCATATTTCGAGATTAATTGTAACATGAGTTAATTTTGCATTTTCTTAACTGTGTGTTGGTTGACGTGGCTTGAAATAATTAGATTATTGGGTGGTCCAATTATTTGGCTAAAACAGTCATGCACACACCCTAAGCCTTAATTACCACGAATAAATCAATCCCGCCCCAAATCATTGGTTGTCACTGATAATAGCTTTAACTGTACTTGCATAGTGTAAAGAATTCAAGGAGCACGCTAGGACTCATGGTTAAAACTTTAACCGTTAGGATAACTGCTGACTGTCATTTGGAGATTAGTTGTTTTTTCAGGGTAGAATCTACAATTGTACCCAATTTAAACTTTAGTCATAGCTCTCTTCAAGACAGATTAACTAGAGCTGATTTTTAAAAACCTTTGCTTACCACGAAATGCACTTTTCTTTTCACTCTTAAATAAAATAAAATAATCTTCGGGCTTTATTAAGAATTCGTAAAATTCTTACCAAAGACCTGAGACTTTGTCCAGGGAATTTTACTAACAAAGATAAAGAAATCTCAGCAACATTACGACTAGTTACAAAGAAAGATATTCTAGGAGAAAGCCTTTCCCCACTATTACATTTACTATGAGAAAGACAGCAAAGTAAAATTCATGTGCAGCTATTGCTGATTTCGACACGTTTATTCATTAGGTCATTTAGTTTACTCTTCAAGGTTTTAAAACGATGTTCCAAAAGCGAAAGAAAGGAGAGAAAAACCTATCCGTAGACGGGATCTGCTGTTGGTTTCGATCCGCAGAGCAACGTTTGAGCGGAGCGAAAACTAAAGGAAAGGGTAGAGGCGGAAATTAGCGACTTAATAAGACGCCCAGCTCCCGAGGATGCCAGCCGGGCGTTAGAAACAAGTAGAGCAGAAGAGATTTCGGGCTAATTAAAACAGCCGCAGGACACTCCCCCTCGCTTTTGCCCGGCCTGGTCTCCAGCATTTGCAGAGTCGGGGGCGGGGATTAGTTCGGATTCAAATTTAAAGCGGGATGACCGCTCGAGGCTCAGCAGGTGCCTCACGCCCCGCTCCTCGCGGCTGGTGTTTCCGCTCCTACCTGCCCTGAGGGCCGGAAATTACTTAGCAGGGGAGTGGCCCCTCCATTGTCAGGGTTTCCACAGCTCTTACAGCCTAGTGAAAGTGCGGAGCGAGGGGACGCGGGCGCTGGTCCGCCCACTGACCCTCCACGCGTCCCTACGCTGTTGGCCTCTGTGTCCCCTATCATCTTTTACAATGCCATGGGCCACTGGGGGAAGCCGGAGCAAAGCTGGGAGGGAAGTAAGGCGGAAGGAGAAAAGGGAGAACTGTAAGAAGATACAAGCGCTCGACATAACCACACTTCATAGTCAGGTTTCTCTTCTGGAGGGAGCGAAAAACGGGGAGCGCATGCGCCGGCCGCACTTCAGGCGCGTGGAAAAAGTCGCGCATGTGCAGAGCCGAGACGAAAAAAATGTAGCGAAGGGGTGAGTGGCAGGTTGAAGGCGCTTCTTTAACTACCGAAGGGCCACAGCGGCCTGGAGGCGCGTGCGCAGAGCGCGAGGGGGTGGAGCTCGTCCAAGGGGGCCGGCGAAGAACAGCGCCGGTCTCGCGCGCCCCCTGGCGCGCGCCCGGGGAGAGGAGGGAGCGGGAGGGGGCGGAGAGGAGGGAGGAGGCAAGCAGGGCGGGAGGGGGGAGGGGAGCGGGGGCGAGGGAGGGTTTATCGACCGGGCGATTTTGGTTAAAATATTCAAAATGGCGGACGGAGGAGCAGCGAGTCAAGATGAGAGTTCAGCCGCGGCGGCAGCAGCAGCAGGTAATCATTACAGCATTTTACATATTCATATTCATACTCAACCCCGGCTCCCGCTGCCCCCCCCGCGACTTAGCATAATTTATTAGTACTCAGGATTATTATAATTAACGGCGGGGAGATGGGGGGCCGGGGAGCACTGAGCCCCCGCCGGGCGCCGAGCGGAGGGGGAAAGAGGCTCGGAGCGGCCAGGCGGAGGGGGAAGACAAGGGGCAAAGGGGGCTGCGATCCACCGCCCTCCTCCTGCCCCCGACCCACCCCGCCACCGGCTCGCCGGCCCGCCCGCCGGCACCGGCCCTCCTCCTCCTCCGCCGGCCGCCGCCGCCGCCGCCTCCTCGCCGCCGTGCCCGAACCCGAGCGGGTCCGCGGCGGGGCGGCGGGGCCGGGGCAGAGGGAGAGGACAATAAAGACATTTTACATATTCATAGCTGCTGGGCCGGCGGGGCGCAGTGGGGCGCGGGCTGGCGGCCGGGGCCGGGCGGGCGCGGAGTGGGGGGGCGTGGAGGGGGATGGAGGTGGCGGCGAGCACAATGCCGGGGAGGCGGCGGGGCCGGAGCGGACCCCGGCGGCCGGACACCGGCACGCGTCTTCTCCCGGGAGCGGGCCCGGGCCGGGGGGGCACTGCCCGCAGCGGGGCGGCCCTGAGGGCAGCTGGGGTGCGCCCTGGGAGAGCGACCTGCCCGCGCCCCGCCGCCCGCCGCACAGGGTCCGAGCGGGGCTGAGCCCGCGGGTCACGGCCCCGGGCACCTCGGCCGCGCCCCACTCGTTCCCCCGGTGGCGGCCTGACCTGAGCCAGGCCTGAGCTCTAGGTGGGTAGGGGTGAGCGGTGGTGGGCGCTACGAGGTGTCCTCGGGGCGGCGGGGGCGGGGAGCTCGCGCAGGGGTCCGCTTCGCCCCCTTGGGGGCGGACTGGGTAGGAAGGGGCCCTCGGGGAAAGTTCCCCTCGTAGGGGGTGTTCTCTGGGGCAGCCCATGTGCCCCGGCCATCGGTCAGCAGTCCTCATGGGTCCGGGAAGAGCCCCCTCTTCCTCGTCGGCCCCGGCTTAGCGGGGGAGTTGGGTTGGAGGTGACTGGCGTGGTCTGATCTTCGGCTCCCTTTTCCCCTCCCCGCCACCTCCCCCTGCGCCTGACCGGGGACGCACGGGGCGGGTGTCCGTCGGGGGCCTCTCGCTCCGAGGCCCCAGAAGCGCCCAGAGGCCTCCTGAGAACTTGGATGTAAAGGGCTGCCCCAGAACGGGCTGGCCTGACAAGTTGATAATCTTCATTTCCCCTCTCCCGTTGGGAGTTGGTGGGCTGGGACGGGGATCCTCCCCCTGGTTCTGTGGTGGTGTTTTCTTGCTGGTTGCTGGGTCCTCTTTACTCTCTGCTTAGCCGAACCTCTTCTCATTTGAATAATGTCTAATTCGGGGAGGTTTATATTATTGAAATGGCCGCCTGGCTTTCCCCGCCTCTCATGTTTAGTAATTCAGACCTTTAATAACAGCCACTCACAGCCCAACGCCGTGTTTATATTTTACATTCGCCCCATGTGCTTTTGTGGTTCGATATGATTCTTTTTTTTTTTTTTTCCTTGGCAATCCACAGGGCTCTGAGATCAAACTCAGGCTGTGCTGGGAAGAGGGGGAGAGCTAGGCCTTGGCTTCTCTAGCAGTTGCCTAGGCCTCATGTTTTCTGTTGCTTGATTTATTTACTAATAACCAAAATGACTACCCCCACCAACTTCCACACACATAGCCCTCCTCCGCGGGCAAAACAAACCCTCTTGGGGCCTTACCAGCATTAAAACACCTCTTAGCTAAGCATCAACTCTACGGTGGTTTGTTTTCTCTTAAAAAGACTTTCTTATACTTTGCAGTAATATTGGGCCTAGGAAAAAAATCTGTCTTACTGATAACAAATTTTCAGAGGCTATGAAATCTATTTTGGTTTAATAAAAATAGATCACTTTGTTTTGTGGATAGTTCTCTCCCTTGCTTCTCACCCCCAAAGTTAACCACTTTCAGGCTTTGTAAAAGTTTGCAGTATTTGTCAAACCTATACAGTTTTTTTTTTCCCTAGGAGTTGTGAAATAGCTAAATATTTTAGAAATTCCAATTAACAACACTTTGGTAATTTTTCTGTTTGGTGCTCCCTTTCTAACCTCTTCATTCTAGTTTAAGATGGGGCTGGCACTAATTTTGGGCTATCACTAACATAGATTTGCTTATTTTAATTGTAGCACTACTGAAAACAGAAATGGGGTTATGTTTTCTTTGAATGTTTGTGTCATGGTTAAATGAGTGAAAATAGAAGAATAAACAGGCATTGTGTCTACCTTGATCTTGGAACTTATTCTCCTCCCAGCACTCCCGCCCCTCTTCTTTAAGTTGTCAGAATTGATTTTATGTTTTATCTAGACTTAGGACAGTTGGCCTGTGAGAGAGGCAGATTAACTTTTCCTGTTTAGAGGAAACAGTAATTTTGATTTTTGGTCTTTCCTGTGACAAAGTTTTCTTTAACATTTTTATTTCATGTAGTTGTAGTGTGTTTTTTTTTTTAACGGTGTTGCTTCTCATTGGTGGATGTTTACCTCTGCTAGTTGAGGGAAGTATTAGAGGAGTAGTGTTTAACACTAATGTGTTAAACCTTTGAAATTATGTTAAGATACTTTATGGTGAATAGCTAGTGACGTATTTTGTGGGATATTAGTCTTTGGTTTAATTTTTAATAAAATTCTAGGTTTGGTGCACTAAAAGTAAGCTAATTTCAAATAACCAGTTCTGACCATTTTTCTTTCACTCCCAATGGGCAGGCCCTGAATGCAGCAGGGAAAAAAAAATCCGTAGCTTTTAGGAGAATGCTCAGGTGAATGACTGTTTCAGAGGCCTAAGATACGGGGTTGGGTGGACAAAAAGCAATAATATAATTTCATGCCTAAAATAGCATATGTTTTTGCACCCGATTCCCAAGATGTGGTCAAACTGGTGATGTCATTGGACAGAGGACAAGGTGCAGTTAATTTGATTTATTGTCCTGAGGCAAAGTGTAGCAGTGAAGCTTTCTCATAGGGAAACCATTTATCTCGGGACAATTTCCTTTATAGCTGCAATTTAACCACTACTGAGGCTGTAGATATTTTATACAAGATGATAAAATGTACATTGGGTTTTACAAACAAAATTTCAAATATCAAAATTTCACTTACAGTTTTTGTAATACAGAAAAGGATGGAATATTGTTAACTGGCCCTATATTTTGGTTTGGCTTTCCATGCTGTTGTAAAAATTCATTTCCTCAAATTCTCAAATGGACACTATGGGTTTTATTTATTTTTGGGGGGGGATTTTAAATAAGTATACTTGTAGAAGCAATGCATATTCATGCTTATTTTGGATATATTCATTGTGATCCCCCAGATTCCTATATGAAGCTGCATGGCCCAGGCTAATGGAGAGACTATTTGCTTTAGAACCTATTTCAGTGAATAAAGCAGAGTTGAAGAGAATGAGGGATATATATTCTTTTAGGTTGACATTGTAGTGTTTAAAGTAAAGTAGAACACATACAGGAAAATATATGCTTTGAAAACACTTTAAAAAAAATAATTTATAATTCTTTTTGGTTTTGTCTTAAATTAGTCTGGACAAGTTTGTGCATTTTGTTTTGATTGATTAGTGATTTTTAAAATTGTTCCATTGCAAGGTAGTAATTCCACTTACAATTTTTGACATATTAGTGAATTGTCTTGTTAGGCATTTCTCATCATAGTTTTAACTAGCTTATCTTAAGGTGATGATTAAAATGCCCTGGGAATGTGATAGAATTGCTGTGTTTATTCCTAACCCTAATTTGTGATCCAAGCTTGATAAGAGTACTTTAGGTTACTTTTGAGCCCTCATAAGCTTCTAACCTGCATGTCTGTCTCCTTTTACATGTCTGGTAGCTTCCTACATGTTTCTAGAAAAGTCACTCTTAACTTGCCCACCTATTAATTATAATGATACTTTTGAATTAAGGTTTTGAAAATTCACGTGACAGCTGACCAAATGTTTTTAATTTCTAAAGGACTGTTCTGCTTCTGAGCCATTACTGTAAAAGTAATTTTTAACCTCTTCCCTCAAATTAATTTCTATTTTCTTTCATTTGTCATTGTCAAAAATCCCAGTAGTCAAGGAAAAACCAAACAGTGGCTATTATTCAGGTTTAAATGGTGTAGTATTCTGCCATATTTTAAATTTACTATTCTCTGCATTAATAGGTAGTATAAAGCTGTCTAGGTTGAAGTAATTGTTAATCTATCATTCATCTGGTCAGTGGATATTGAAATAAGTTCAGGGCTCAGGATGTTAAACTGCTGTTATCAAGCCACCAGAGATGTTTAGTAGAGCTTTGAATATTTTAGGCAGGTGGTTTCTAAAATAATAGAACTGGAATTGAATGTTATCTTTCATAAGTGTTTTCTGTTAAAAATGGAATATTTGAAATGTTTCTTGAATTTGTATTGCTATATCTTGAATTTGTGTTTTTTAAGTTGGTCACTTTCATAAATATCTGTTTCCTTTGGACTTGAAAGACTATTATTATGTAGTGGTGATTGCCTTATTGTTACCAATTATTTTTGTTTTTTTTTTAATGTTGAAAACCCACAGCCTTAGTCTTTGTATGTTAGCCTTCTTTCAAGCTCCATTAAAAATAATGGTGCGTGACTTATTAATTTGCTTTTATACATCAGTATTGGTTCAATTACATAGTTTTTGTGATTAGTAAAGACTTGCTATGAAGCCTAATTTTTTTCCTCCCCCAACCCCAGTGAAGCCTAATTTTAAGTTGGGATGTGTTTTTCCTGGTGGAAATGATTGCATTTAGAACTATTCAAATAATTACTGTTTAGAGAACAGAGCAAGTGACAGACAAAACATGCCCCTTTTTGGTCACCCATAGTCTTGTTTTTGATGCTTGCCTAAATGCTAAATGTCTGAGCAAACATGCTTACTTATTTCTTCAAGGAAATCTAATATTAGGCGTT